TTTATAAGATCTCTAGAAATAATTCTATAATTTCAGAATTCGCCTTATTTATATTAGCCAAATCTACTATAAAATATATCTATTTCTGGCCAGGAAATATATCTAGGATTATTTAGTTAAGCTTATAGATTATATTATTTAGGGTTAATAGAATTACTTATTTACTAAAGGCCTAGTAATTATATAGGGCCTATAAAAGTTACTCTTACGAGTAAATATAATTAATTAGATCTATAACTAACTAGATATATAGAATAAAAGGCAAGAATATAATCTACCTATTTAAAAACAGGTTATATAATAAATTACTAATCTAGTTTATAAAATCCTATTTAAATAAATTATTATAAACCCGTATATTAATCCATAATAATAACTAATAAAGCTATAGCTAGATTCATATTTACTATAAGCAGGCCCGTATTATATTAGCCTGCAAATTATATAGAACTATTAGTAAAATCTGAATAAAGTTTCTCTCGAAAATTACAGGTATTTCTCTAAAGAAAATATTATTTATAATTAATTATAAATTAACTATTAGCTAATATATTACCTTAAAATAGTACTTATACTATATAGGTACCTTATTTCAGATAATTAGGTCTATAGAATATAAGAGAGCCCTAAGCTAGCTAGTCTTAGTAATTATATTTATAAATAACTTATTAAGCTTAAGTAGAATCCGGAACTAGAAATAAAACATATATTTATTCGAGAAAAAAAGAGTTATAATACTTATTAATATTATATATAGAACTATCTTATCTTGGCTATAGTAATAATAATAGAGAGTTTTATAAAAAAATATCTTACTAGTCTTACTAGGGCTTTATAAATAGAAATAAGTAATTTATAAATTATTTATAATTACTATTATAATTATCTAAAAGTAGAAGTACTAGTTTATATTTAGCTAGGCTTATATTATAATTACTAGTAATATCTTATAGATATAATTAACTCGTAAATTAGTTATATAGTAACTTATAGTCTAATTAAAGATATTTTTAGACAGGGTAATATTTATAAGTATTTACTAGAGATTTATAAGGCTAAGACTAAGTAAAAAGAAGCCGTAATTATAATAAGAATTAACTAAGAATAGTAAAAAGTTAATTAATAGGTTATAGGCTAGCTTATAAGTTAAGTTATTATAGAAATACTTCTTATACTAGTTCCAGATTACTTATATATTCGTAATTAGCTACTAGTAAATACCTATAAAAAAGAGTATTTATAAATTATAGCTAGTTATTAATAAAATAGTCTTATTAAAATACTAGAATTACTTCTAATTATTCTTTATTAAGCTATAAGTAATATAAATAATATAATATATAAGATAATAAATACTTTTAACTAAATAAAGCTTATTAAAGAACTATAAATCATATATAACTATTAGTAAGAGCTATAAATAGAACCGCTTACCTAAAACCGGGCTATAATAATAAATATAGCTAATACTATATTCTTATTTATAAGGCTTCTATATCTGAGTCTTAGTAACCTATATAAAATATTATAGGAACTTGTAATAGAGATATTAATAGCTATTTTTATATATTATATTATACTTAAAGAAAGCTATTAAGATTAAATAAGTATTTATAGCCCGGTCTATAATTTGCTCAAGTAAGAGATTATTTATAAAATAGACTATATATTATCTAGAGAAGTAAATTACTAAGTACTAGACTAGAAGAAACTCCTAGTATATTAGATATTTAAATAAATACTAGAAAGCCTTTATAAGGCCTATATACTAAGCTTAAAAATATTAGATAATCTTATTATTTATTCCTGAGACTATAATAGTTATATAATTTATTTCTTTATAGATATACTTATAAATATACTTAATTACTTATATAAAAGTATAAACTTTAATATTAATATAGGAATAGAACTTCTAGAAAAAATATAAGTTATATAAAATAACCTAGTAATTATTACGGACGACTTCCTGGCCTAGAAAGCCTGGTTTATAGACTATAAATATATGGCTATTATTCTAGTACTAGTACTCGAAATACTTATTTTTATAAATAATTATTATAGCTATAAATACTTTAAGGAATCTTTTCTAATATATAAATAGGGCTATAGGCGTCTTATAGACTATATATAGGGCTTTTGGATTATTTTTAAGGCTATATAGTTTATAAGATATCTAACTAGTTATTATAATTATAAGTTTATTTATAGAATCTTATAATAAGTCTAGAAGCTTAGTATAAATAACTTTATTAACTAAATTAGGAATTAAAAAAACGGCTTCTTTCCTAAGAAATAAAAGTAGGTATATATATAAGAGGCTATATTTCTAGTATTTAATTATATATATATAGCCTATATATAGTCTAAAAAAATAATTCTTTAGGTTTATAAATAGCTTTCTTATCTTTAATATAAAAATCCGGTAAAAGAAATCCGGATAATTAATAGCTTATTACCTATTTAAAAAATAATCTATAATTTTAGGCTAGTATAAGTTAGCTATAAAAGTAATAAAGATACTTAGTTTACTAAAGTATTATATAATAGCTATTAAGTCTTAAAAAAGTTATTATATAAAGTAATTACTATCTATAAAGCTTAATAAAAGAATAAAGTAATAGCTAATATTACTTATATAAATATCTTTATAAATTAGAACATTCGTAAGTCCTATATATATATTTATATAAATATTTTACTAATATAAGTAAAGCTAATTAAATAAGGTAATCTTATAAGTAATATATATATTAATAATATATTACTAAAAAAGGTAACTAGTATAAAAAAATAAAGAAAAGGCCAGATAAATATAGAGGTAATACTAATAAAAAACTTGCTATTTTAGCTATATTTACTAATAGGTTCTATTATAGTCTTATAACTATAAATTATAATACTAGCCCGGGTTATTATATAAAAAAAACAAGATATAATATTAATTATATATATTTATAAATACTTATAGCCTGCCTTATAGATTATAAATATTAGATTATAATAGCTTATATCCGTATACTTATCTAAAATAAGAGCTATAATCTTATTATTTATTAGGAGATTCTTATAATAATAATTAGTACCTAACTCAAGAATTAAGTATATTTACGAATTAAATAAGATCCGGAAATTGGTTTATTAGCTCGCAAAATACTTATAGGCTATTTTATAAACTATAATAAATAAATTATAATCCGTAAATATATTTATAAGTTATAAAAGAACTATATAATCTAAATAAGAGAAGTTAGTAGCCCATATATTAGTTATAAAAAGCGGATTATAAAAGAAAAGCTATATAAAGCAAGCTATAATAGGCCTTGGAAATAGAAGAGCTTATTATAAATCTAAAAGTACTAGATTCTATAAAAGAAATTAATCCGGGTATTTTTTTTATAGCTAATTAATATAAAGGCAAAAGTATAATTATATATCCGGATATTTATTCGGAAGACCTAGTAAAGCAGGTTATTATTTATAAAAAAGTAAGAAAAATATAGAGAAAGCTTATAAATTAGAGGAAGTATTATATTACTTTTTTTATAATAGGTCTTAAAGTAATTATTTATATAGCTAAAATAAAGGGCTTTATAAGCTATATAATAACCTATAAGCGGACTAGTTATATATACGGGAGCTAGCTAGAAATAAGAAAGAAAAGTAAGAGGCTATATAGTAAGTAGGTTAGTAAGAGAATTCTCTATAATATAAACTAGGGCCATAATAGATAGTTAATAGATCCGTTACTAGTACTATAGGGCTAACTTGTCTATAGAGATATTCGTAATTAACTATTATTATTATTAGAAGATAGAAAGAATATTTAGATTAAGTTCTTATAAGGTAAAGTACTACTAGATATAATTAGTAGTATTTCGGGCCTATTAACTAGTTAATTAAGCCAGAAAAAAAGAAAAATACAAACTTAATAGTAAGAGCAAATTTTATATAGCTTAGCCTGCTCTATAATAAAGTTAGAAGCAGGCCGGTTTTGCCTATAGGAAATATAAAAGCAGAAAAAATCTATAGTAATAAAGAAAAGAAAGAGAGAAAAGTAATATAAGATTAGGGTTTCTTTTCTTAGTACCTTTTATGAAACTACTAGCTTTAGATTTTCTCCCGAGCTTTAAAAAATTATAATAAAAGCCCCTTATATCTCAGAATTACTAAAATATAAAGAAAGATACTCGAGTATTCTTTTTATAATTCTAAGCTAAGCTCTAAGGATTTAGATATAATTATATTCCAATATGTGATTCTCTAGAAAGGGGCAATTCTGGTATTCCTTATATAACTAGTTTTTTTCCAGGAGCCCCGAGAGCTAACTATTTAAGGGTAGTCCAAACATATAATAATATAAAGAAGTAATAATAATGTTATATAAATTAGAAGAATTAAGGAGAGAATTAAGTAAGAGTATATAATTATAGTATTTCTAAAAATACTATAAATAAGTAATTTAAGCAATTTTATTATATAGTTTAGTTTAAGGTTTCTGCTTTATAAAACCTTAAGTATTATTTATTCTTTAAAATACTATTCTCGAATATATATTATTTTTATTATTTTTATTATTTTTATTATTTTTATTATTTTTATTATTTTTATTATTTTATTTTTTATTATTTTTATTATTTTTATTATTTTTATTATTTTTATTATTTTTATTATTTTTATTATATTATAATTCAATTTCTCTTTATAATAATTACTTATAAAATAATATTCATAAAATAAATTCTTTAATTCTTTTCTTATCTAACGATTCCGGATCTCCTTGTGACGGCTGGCGTAACGGCATGATCTGCCAGGAACAGGATATCGGAAACAGGTACAAAATGAAGCTAAGCCGGAATGCTTGGGCAAGACAATACTAAAAGGTCGAGGCATTCCTCCCTTCTTTGTCCCCCAGCTCAGTATTTTCAATACATGAGATTCTTTGAACTTTGAGCCTTCGACCATTGCATTGATCCCGCCGTCACACTCCTTGAGCGACGGCGTTATTGCACAACAAAACACCAACGTGAGTCGCGGTATCAGATTATTCTATGATCTTTACGGCGTGAACGCCATGACAACCTGGCCGTGGGCCGTGAGTCGAATCATCGACGCACTCGAGACAATGCCAGAAGCAAACATCAACACCAAGTGTCTAGCAATCACAGGCTGCTCTCGGAACGGAAAAGGCACTCTAGTTGCAGACGCTCTCGATGAAGGAATTGCTCTCACCCTCCCACAAGAATCCGGTTCAGGCGGCGATGCTTGCTGGAGACTTTCAGACACCGAGCAAGTAGCTGGATACGTAGTCCAAACATCCGCCGAGATCGTGCGCGAGAACGTCTGGTTCTCGAAGTCCTTTGTTGCGTTTGCACCTCGCAATACTTCGTGCTCTCCTGGCGATCGAGAACACGGATTATGTGTGGTTGAGCCCGCAAAGTAGTTATGGGTGTGTGACTGCTGCGCATAAGATTTGGGAGGCGTTGGGGGTGCCTCGGAATATGGGCTTCACGCAGGATGGGAATCATAGCCATTGTGCTTTTTCCTGCTGAGCAGCAGCCGGAGTTAACGGCGTTCTTTGATAAGTTTTTGTTGGATGGGGAGGCCGATGCGAAGGTTTTTAAAACGACAAATGGGACGTTTAATGGGACGCAATGGGCTGGTTGGGAGGTGCCGAAGTTGTGGAGTTGAGTGCCAGACTTTAGAGATCTCGGAAGGAGAGGCGAGGTCTAAGTCGAGCGGCTGCAGCTGACCTGACATTTAACTATTGCTTCAAATGCTTTGGGAACATCATACGCAGCCGGTTGAGAAGCGTGCACAATGTATCCAAGTCCGCAGAACAAGAAGATGCATTATTCTTAATGACCTGCAGATGCGCTGTAAGATCTTACAATGACGCCTGATAACTCCAGAAATGGTCCGGAGTCAGGCAGGAACGACCACCTCCAATCCTCAAAAGTCATAATCGTCCCCATAATCCCCATCACTTTCACAATCCGCAACTGTGACACTTTGCCCCGTCCAAGACGCCGACCCATCAACAACAGTCGTCGTATCCACCTCCACCTCCGCCACCTGCCCCGTCCCATCACCTGGCACAGATATATCCTGCTCCGTAATGCTCGTCGTGAAAGTTTGAGGGCCAAGGGTAGTTTGGCTCGCCATCGCAGTCGCCGTTTGGTCTTGTAGGATCTGGTCGTAGGCGAGAGTCGATGGATCGAAGGGGGAGGAAGTTGGCGAGGAGGGGTCGGAGAAGGACAGTGGTGGGGTTGGGTATTGGGGAAGTAGGGTTTGAGGGTCCACAGGGATTGTTGGCGAAGAAGGTGGTTGGTAGGCTAGGATGGAAGGGTCTGATGTTTGTGGTGCGAATTGGGTTGATGGGAGAACGAAGGGTTGAACTATTGTTGACGGGTCTGGCTGGACGAACAGGGGTTGAGGAACGAGTTGTGGTTGAGTATATTGTTGTTGGAGATACTGCTGGGGAGCAGCTTGAGCATTCGATGCGGCTCCTTGGTTGTGAGGCTGGCTGTTATTGTTCTGAGAAGCAGGGTTCTGCCCCATAGGGGGTAATTGACCCTGCTGCTGCATTAATTTGAAAAGCTCATGAGCGACCTCTTGTGCAGATGGACTGGCTGTAACCGGCGGGGATACAGTATTCTGAGCAGCTCCAGCAGGAACATCTTGAGCTGTACCATGTGGAGCGCTATGCGATATCCGTCTCCGCTGCTGGGCACGCTTGACGTTCAAATACACCTTCGATGCAGCAACGGCGTCCGAAAGACCGTCCGCCCCACACGCATTAGCGACGACGCCAACTCCACCAACGATCCCACTAGCGATTGCAGTCGATTTCCCCGGATGAGCTTTGATGTAGCCCTTGGATGATTCAAATGATTTCTTAGACACTTCGATTGACTTCTTCGTCATCTTGATTGCGGAGGTAGACAGACGGTTGGCAAGTTTGGGCCTGCTTGATGTTGAATACGGACTTTGGTATTGTGTTGAGTTTTGAGGAGCTTCTCCGAATTCCTCTGCCCAGGGTGATACACCGGGGTTCTCAATTGATGCCGCTTGACCAGACTCACCATGTGTCTCTGTCCATTCTTGTATCGGAGTTATTCCTGGGCTCTGAACTGTCGTACTCGAATATTGAGGGTTGGCCAGTTGTTGTGGAGACTGCACAATGCTGTTTTGGTGTTGGACTTGATTTGTATATGATATGCTGTTCGTGGGTAGTGATTGTGAATGGGTAAGCTGTACCGTTGACTCCATGATCGAAGACTGCGAAACCGAGCTTCGTGAGCTCGCCGTATACTGCTGCGGAGACTGCTGCGTTGGAAGTTCTGCAAACGAACTTCCCGATATTGAACTTCGAGGGCTAGCCGCAAGTGGCTGCTGTGTCTGGACCATGGTTCCTGGGATCGAAGGTTGGGAAATGGAGGTTCGAGGGCTTATCTGCGAATCTTGTCTCTGCGGTACTGGCGTCTATTTCTCAAGTCAGAAAGGTCCCGCATAGGGATCAGAGGGCGGAGTCTTGCCTGCGCCTGTTGCTGCTGCTGCTGCTGCGGTTGCGGGGCACTATTTTGCCTGGGTAATGGCTTTCGCAATGGTTTTCTTGCAACAGAACCAGAAGCACGGCGGATAGGATCAGGGAGTGTTCCTGGGACATTCTGCTGCACTGTATTCCCAAGTCCCAATGTGGGCTGCTGAATTTGTTGTGGCATCTGAATAATCTGAGCAGCAGCTGGTACCGGCGCAGTCGATTGCGTCTGTTGAACCGCCACAGCGGTAACCGCACTCTGCTGCTTGTCTTGTGAAATGAACATCGCCTCCATCGTCGTCGCGATTTGCTGCACAGGTCGAGGAGGAAGTCGAGGGACCAGCTCAGCGGCACGAGTAATCTCATCGCCGGTCTTGGGGAGGGGATATTGGCAATACCCAGAAGGACGGTGGAAGAAGTACCATCGCTCAGCGACGCGATCAAAGTCTGAGGCCCACTCTGGGGGGAGAGTGATTTGGAGCTGGACCGCCATGGCGATCTCCAGGAGAGAAGAAATGGAGAACACGCGAGGCTGGAGTGTGACGAGGTTGAAAGAAAGACATGATAAGAGAAAACGAAGAGCGGGGTGGGACGTGACGACCCGTTGGCAGCTAGATGCGGCTGAAACTAGTCGAGAAATTGTTCAATATTGGAGTGGGGAAGTTTGTTGACTATTGGCTAAGTTTCCCAATTGGGGACGATTGATACGGCTGAGCCAATCAACCCCAGCACAAACTTTGTGGCTTTTGGTACTCGGGGAAACATTGGACGGAAGTGAGACACCGGCCGAAAAAGAACGAAAGGAGGCTTGACATGCAGGGCTGGAATTGCGCAAGACTCCAAGCGGGAGATGTCGATCACATGACTGGCAGGTACCTCTTTCGGACGAAGTCAGCATCCGAGTTTCAGTTAGCTTACCAAAGCTTTCAAATGTCCATATCGAGAGCTCCTTGCTCAGACAACATGTTTTCCCAAAGCATCGCCGAGGATCTCGGTGATAGTAAGCACTTTCTCTTCCTGAAATCTCCTCCCAATAACTTGCACGGCCACATGAGCGCCATCATAAAGCTCAGGATCATCTACCTTCTATTAGCGCTTTACAACATCCAGCACGGCCACAACTCACAGCTTCGATGTATCTTCTCATCCGTAGGATTCTTCGGGGTATATCCCACATCCACGACGTCAATGCTCTTATCCACCAGCGTAACGGGGAGGACCGCGGTCGAGTAATCAAGCAGGTTTACCCACGCAGAAAGCCCTGGAAGAACACGTTTAGTCTTCTCTTCACCGCTCCCAAATTGTGTCCTGCAAAACAAATAGACGAGTCAGCGTCTTACTTGCGAAAATACGTACCAGTATAGTCATACATATCAGGTCTAGCAGCGGCAAAGGGGGCCAACGGCGATATGATCGCGTCGACAGGACGGCCTGTGCCAGTGTGTGAGGCAGTTCCATTCCAGTATTCCATGTACTCCTTTTGGTATTGGCGTTTGAGGACGTTGATTGCGGAGATCTGGGAGGCGGTGTATTGCTCCTTCTTGATCCCGTAGAAAGACGCAACTGGAGCACACATCGGCTCGCCTGGAAGTCCTAGAGCAGTGTGGACTTTATAAAATGTCAGTGAGAGATTCGTGAAGGTGACTTGGTACCAAACCATCTTCTCCACCATCAAATCCCCATATTTTGAACTGTGTAGTGTTAAATTGTGCTTATATTTTCGGGGACGGTGGGAAGATATACCACCAACTCGTTACATCTGGCATGGGCCGGGGGGTTCCAATCCACAACTTTGTGACCCAGTTTCTCTATGGTCTTCACGACGACATCCAAGGCTCTTCGAATAGGCGGTTGAGGGCGAACAAATCCGTCATCGGGCATGATGGCAAAAACCAGTTGTCCTCCATTACCCGCCTTGACGATATCAAGAACTTCTTGCTCCTTCTCGTCCCGCCACGGGATTTTAGCAACTAATGGATCATGCAACCATGGCTGCTGGCTGAGAAGGCTTTTGATCACCAGTTTCAATGCTCCAATTGAATTTGCGAGTGGTCCGACAACTGAGAGAATTGAGTTTTGACCGTCCATGGAGTTGGCCATTCCTTCGTAGGGAAGACGTCCACTTGATGGCCGGATGCCGTACAGTCCATTGAAGGCGGCCAGAATACGGATACTGCCCCCGATGTCTGTCCCGAAACCAACGGGACTCCCCTTCAAACGGATCAATGCACCCTCTCCGCCTGAACTTCCACCAGCTGCGAGGTGGCGGTTCTTTGGATTCCAAGTATAACCAATGATGTTGTTAATCGTCTCTCCTGCCATCAAAGTATGAGGCACGCTCGTCTTGCAGAACAAAATGGCGCCAAGGTTTCGCAACTCAGTGACCATCTCGCTTTCGTAGACCTTTTCTTTTCCAGTGCCTTTCTTTCCTTCAAAAGTACCGATCCAGCCAACATAGCCCATCGTCGTCTCAACACCTCTAACGTGAAATTGGTCCTTCAGACTGATAGGAAGACCATGAAGGGGTCCTAGCGGTTTGCCATGCTGAGCATAGTATTCATCGAGTAATTCGGCATCATTAATAGCAGCCTCAAAGAATATTTCATGAAGACAATGGACCTGTGTGCAGTCAGCATGTCTCCAAATTCGGTGATAACGGAGTCCTAAACCATCTGATGAGCGAGCGCGGCTCTGTGACAGAACGCCTCGGCAACTTCTCGAGCTTTCCATGTTGCAGTTGTGGTATTCTTGATAATTCCCACAGCATCGGTTTCAGTGATTTCAATCTCTCGTGGTGTAAGAAATTGCTGGATGTATTTTCCTGTGACATCCCTTTGTTCTGTGGGCGGTGGAAGTGGGGTTGGTAAGAGCCAAGCTTTGGGAATCAAGGCGTTGACTGAGTCACGCTTGGCTTCTCCCAACTCCTTCCAGTTTGCCATTGTTCTCAGTGTCTCCAGGGTATCGAATTCGAGGTCCGGTCTGAATATTCCAGATCAAATGTGTTATTTGTGTTTGTATCACCTGACGTTGGAGTTGAGAATGGGCAGTGATACTTCGTGTCGTTATCGTGGAGGGGTAATTGACAGGGAAGGGATGCGGAATTCTGCCGACGGTGTCCCGTTGTCAAAAGTGGGTTGCTGCCAAAACAGATCTTCAAGGGAAGGCGAGGAATTGGCCAAGCAATATATCTACTCTCGCATTTGACGGACGTTGAGGTTGATCCTCTTGTTGCTCATCCAGTTCTTCCATTCTGGGAACTCCTTTCCTGGCCAATCTGATAGATAATCGGGACAAGTTCCTGGAATGATCTTGGGAACGCCATGCCAAGCAAACCGCGATTGTCCGCTCATAAAGACTGCATCGCCGGATTTCAAGCGCAATACTTCGTATTGAGTAGCTCCAGAAGTCTTATCTTGAAGGCCGATGATAAAGATAGCGTCGCAGCCTAGGCTGACGCTAACCAGACCTCGATCGACCTCTTCACTGACATCGCGGTGCAAGCTCAAGGTGTCTCCTGGAGAATATAGATTGACGATTGCTGCCTCTGGCTCCATGTCGGGGAAGAGGCCACGAAGAAGTCCAGCGATATCTGAAGGAAATTTTGGTGGTTCCTCAGCTGGATAGACTTTGTTGGTCCAGTCATATTGCCCGCCTAGGGTTGTCCAACGCAACTTCTTCTCCAGAACAGCTTTGGCGGTTAGAGGTGGGTGTATTACTGGGTCCTTTGGCTGGAATGTAATAGTACTTGGGTCAATGGAGAAGAAAGAAGCTTGCCGATCAGGATAATTGACGTCATAATGAAGGTGGAGGTTTGTCTTGTGATTCGGGGTTGAAAGATCACGATGCAGCAAATGTGAAAGCAGCGTCTTTTGTGTTGTTGGAGGCAGCAGAGAAGGCAATATCAGAAGGCCTGGGTTAAGTCAGAAACTATAGGAAAGAACACAATGACTGCTCGAAAGCTTCGCCCTTGACGAATATACGTATTTGACTGCCTTCGTACCTGGAATATACTGGGAATTATAGACGGAGATAGACGAGTCCAAAGCTACTTGCTCTGTGATATCTGGCTTGTTTGCAACATCGGACACAGAAAACCGGTCGAAGATTTCAGCCAAGCGATGATGCGGAATGCCGTCCAAGTGTGGCATGTTAACAACATTTTCATTGAGATGTCGGTCTCGTTCTGGCGTCAATTGGCCCTTCCATGACTTGAACACATCCTTGAGCTCTTGTGGAGGTGTTTCATTTGGATTGAAATCTAGATGGCCCGTCATTTCCGGTCTGGCGAATGACTCTCCATCAGCTCCTTCCTAGAGAGAATTTGAGGGAAGATGCCCACACATCAATCGAATCTGGTGGCGAATATTCATCAATTGACGAATTTGAAGCAGCAGAGCCTAGAATGCATGAATGAGAATGACGATGTGATGTGGTTGAGATCCATTTTCATTGCTTCAGCCGTAATTTTAGCGAGGCACCAATTTTCGCGTCCCGCCATGTTGACTTGCGCGCCAAACTTTTGTTTACTCCTGACGACAACAACCACCTTTGACCACGACAATCCCAGGACCCCGACGACCGATTCGACCTTGATTCCGGATATTGCTGACTGTCTACTTTCCTAATCTTTCGCAAATACTTCACCTGCGACCCGATGCAGCGAGACTGAACGAAGACGGCCCCTCATTCACCGCCCCACCAGAACCCTCAATCAGCAGCTTTACCTGCATCACTTAGTCTCCCACACTCTTTTGCACCCCGAGAAAAGCATACTTCAACATGGAGAACTATCAGAAGCTGGAGAAAGTTGGAGAAGGTCAGTCAATGCCTGCAGATTCGAGTTTGCGAATCACGCAATGGCTACAGGCATAAACGCGGGTTCTCGTGCTTACATTTGCATGTCTAGGAACATACGGAGTTGTATACAAGGCCAAGGACCTGGCGCACAATGGCCGAATCGTTGCGCTGAAGAAGATCCGTCTTGAGGCCGAGGATGAAGGGGTTCCCAGCACGGCCATCCGTGAGATTTCCCTCCTCAAGGAGATGAACGACCCGAATATCGTCCGACTCTTCAACATCGTACACGCCGATGGCCACAAGCTGTACCTGGTTTTCGAGTTTCTTGACCTGGATTTGAAGAAATACATGGAGTCTCTCCCAGTTAGCGATGGCGGCAGAGGCAAGACTTTACCAGAAGGCTCTGGACCAGAATTGGGACGACTTGGCCTGGGTGACGCGATGGTAAAGAAGTTTATGAGCCAGTTGTGCGAGGGTGTCAGATACTGCCACAGCCATCGAATTCTCCACCGCGATCTCAAGCCGCAGAACTTGCTCATCGATCGGGACGGAAACCTCAAGTTGGCGGATTTTGGTTTGGCCCGCGCGTTTGGTGTACCCCTTCGAACATATACCCATGAGGTCGTCACACTGTGGTATCGATCGCCCGAGATTCTTCTAGGTGGTCGTCAATACTCGACTGGTGTTGATATGTGGTCCGTTGGCTGTATCTTCGCAGAGATGTGCACGAGAAAACCTCTGTTCCCAGGTGATTCCGAAATTGACGAAATCTTCAAGATCTTCAAGTACGTTCCCTTTGCCTGGTTTTCCCCGCTTTTTCTAACAAGAAAAGGCTTCTAGGTACTCCCACCGAAGCCGAGTGGCCAGGCGTCTCTGACAGGACCTGCTTCCCCGACTTCAAGCCCTCATTCCCAAAATGGATTCGTGATGAGAACGTAGCCCTGTGCTCAAACCTTGACGAGAACGGCCTCGACCTCCTCGAGCAAATGCTCGTCTACGACCCCGCCGGACGAATCTCAGCCAAGCAATCTTGCATGCACCCCTACTTCGAAGACGGAAGCGCTGCATACTCTGGTCGGGGATTGGGACCTACATACAAGGGCCAGAACGGATTCCACTGAGTTGAGGGGCGGGTTATGGCTGGATGAATTGCATGATGGGAATGAGGGATGAGCATAGCTTACTGCATATTCATTGCATAGGCTTGGATACGACCGGGGGAATGGGAATAGAACACACAGCACAAAATAAAGGTAAATAATGGCATGCATGCGTGCCTTCTTGCGCCTTTTCATATGTAGGACTTATGAAGCAGCACATCATCGGACCGTCATTCTTTCCTATGTCATGCACGGGATGGGATAGGGGGCGTGGTGGGAATGGCTGGCGTTGATCTGGGATTCTGCGAAGAACTGCGATGCCGGACTTGATATCGCGTGCCTTCTTACCTTTGTGTGTACAGAAAGAATGAAAACAAGAGGCCTCTTTCTTGAGTAATGGTCCTTGTGCGGATAGAATTCGTAATTGAAAACTTGCCGAAGATCTTGACAGTGGAAGTTGAATGAAGTTGGTGGTTGTACATGTGATTCTTATTTATTTGGGTCTTCAATGACCATATATCTTCATAACCCATCAAACGCCATGCTATGCATATATACATCTAAACCATTTATCCATATAACCATTCCATCGCTGTATGTCCTTCTCATGTCCATATAACATCAATATAATCTCTGCAATCATTACCCTAGCCCCCTTCTATTTCCATTCTCCTTGGTATATCCTCCACTCAGTCCCCAATGCACCACACGAATCTTCGAACGCGAAAGGGATGAGCAAGGAGAGATCAGTCATCAGCCAAACTCCTGGTCGTTTCGGTCACGCTCCTGCTGCCGCCGCTGCTGCTCCCGCGCGCCTCGTGCACCAGTCTGTAGATCCCGAACGCGATCAGTGCGAGCACGAAGAAGAGCACGATGATGATTATCGCGATCACGTCGTTTTCTTGGACCATGTTTGCGGGTGCGAGCGTAGCGAGCTAAGTGTATTGCTGGATAGATTGAGGTGGAGGGGGTGAGTCGTGGTTGTGTGATGTTGAGGTTTCGATGTGGAGAGAAGTGTGGTGAGGAAGTGGCGGCGGCGAAAGGATCGGACGAGAACTTGGTTGGTGAATTGTGTTTTTGAGGTTCGAGATCAGACGAAAGCTCGAAATCGGACGAGATAATTTCTAGAGCAAAAAAGTCAGTGAACTATTCTCCATTTCCATTCGTGGTGGTTTCTCATTGTACCTTTCCCTCTCTCCTGCTTTCAAGGTTTCCCCCTAGCAACCACGAGGCTGACTATCAACAACAAACTGCCTTCTCTTCAAGCTTCCTTCTTCCTTTTCAATCTCAACCAGCTCTTGCTTTTTTTCGATGAGGTTATCGTCTTTCAATTGTGGAAGAATGGATGAATGGAACAAAGAAAATCCAGAGAACCCGAGACTGGTCGCTGGTCTTGTAGGTGTGCGAAGCCCAGCCCCCAGCCTTCTTGTTGTCCCGCCATCGCACTTTTTTGCGCGTTGGTGCTGAGGCTGGCGAAACGAAAAAATACAGGGGTTGACTTCGGGGGGGCGGGAAGGGCGCGAGCTGGCGGGTGGTTTTTAGCGGGGGGTGTTTAGCGAGGTGACCCTCTCGCCGATCTCGAACTTCATGACTTCTGCGGATTCGATCTTCAATCTTCAATCAAGGGTTTTTGGATGTCCAGGGAACTGTTTCGCGACTCCATTTTCGGTTGTCTTGCAAGATAAAGTTGCGAGGGTGTTGTCGTGTAGAATGGTAGAATTCAACGTTGGCTGAGGCTCAAGATCCAGTGACACACGAGAACTCTCGACAAGTTGAGTGCTTGGAGATTGCTCTCCTCCTCCTCTTGAAAATTTGCATACGAGGGTACTTCTATCTTGCGAAACATCCTCCGGGTTTGCTCCTTCCCTCTCTCTTCTCTAATCTTTCAAATCTACATTTCCAAACATGCACACAGCACGTGATGCCCACCCCCGGGCACCCCCCCCCCCCCCCCCCAAAACCTCAGCCGCGTTTCACGGGAAAGGCTGTGAAGTTTTGTTGTAAGTCGTAGTTAAAAGGTGAATTGGTTTCTACTAGGAGATAATGTTGTTTGGGGTTGGATGTATTAGTAGTGAAGCTTAAAAGGAGTGAATCATGATACTTATCAATCTTAGTGCACCGTAACATTTCCAAGCGAATACTTGGTCCTGTTCCCCTCGTTCTTCAGAACATATATCCGGGAAGGTACTTTTTTTGCTACAAAAGATCCTACCCTCTTACAAATAAATCAAAGAGAGAAGAGTTTTTCGTCTTTCGCCCCCCCGTTTCAAAAAGTGCCCAATCAAAATATTCCAAGATTTGCTCTCCAACTTGATTGTCAACCGGGAGTCGTACACCATTTCCTCCCATCTCCTCTCTCTCTCTTTCCCTTTCCAGCAACCTCGACATGACGCAATGCAAGCCCCCTCTCTATTTTCACTCACCCCTCTGTCTTTGTACCGTCGTAACGGTATCACGGTCCCGTCCCACCGTCCCACGACCCTAGCGCAAAGCAGCGTTACCAAACCTCTCCCCTGGATTCCAGAAAGAGAGACATGCATAGTTGCACAGCTTTGCAGGCGAGAGAGAGAGATAGAGATGCAGTGACCCGGGCCGAGGCACCACGTGTCTGGCGAAGTGTTTGTGTCTTGAAATGAATTGAAAAGGAGAGTATGATGAGATGAGGGGTTGTTTGTGCTACAGTGGAGGGGCAAGTTTGCGTGGATATGTGAACGGGGATGAATTAGGAAATTGAAGCGAGTTCGATGAGGAAAGGAGATAGATTGGGATGAAGATCGATCAAACTTCGACACGTTTTGGGAGACGATTTCGGGAGTGAGATTGGAGGTGTGATGCAGAAGTGCTGGAAGAGGAAGTTGAGAGAGATTGAGGAAGTGAAGCTCCCGATGCGAAATGAAGTGAAAACCACATGGTTGAAGATACTATCCAACTTGGATTCCCTCCGAACAGAAACAGAAAAGTAGTGAAATCCATGCTTTCTAATCTATCAGCGCTTTCCTTCTACCCGCCCGATATTCTATCCCGCGCCGGCAGAAAGCAACGATAAAACCTCCGGAAATCGTGACCTCTTTCCCGTCGTTATTCCCTTTCCTATACCGCCATCCGGCCGCTCTCCCGGCCCCATCCCATCCCATCCTTCCTCCTTAGTCCTCTTCACCTGTTAGGTACTTCATTTCCCCCTTCCCCTGCCAGTGTTCCCTATCCAAACTCGCACCCGCAACCCTACAGTCCGTCTCAATATCCCCAATCAATGCCTCCAGGCTCACATAATCCAATTCCTTCCTTATGAACCCCAGAATACTAACCCGCATCTCACACCCATAAAAGTCCTTCTCAAACCGATGCAAAATATGTACCTCTGCACTCCTGACCGTATTTTTGTAAAATGGGTTATACCCGATAGACATCACCATGGGGTATAATCTCCATCCTTTCTCTAGAGCGGCAGAAGGCGGAGAGGGCGCGGAAGGGTAGGTGGTTGTTTGAGGGGAAGGGTTGGTGGGCGTGGGGTTTATGGATGGTGCCGTTGAGTCTTGGTTCTTTTTCGTAAGGTCGGGGTGCGAGGGCGGAAGCTGGATGCCTGCCCAGCCAAAGTAGACACCGGATTCGGCAGTTTCGATCCAGGAGACGCCTTCTACTGGTATGTTTGCTGTCGGGATACCGAGCTGTGGTTGTTAGTATTCTGTGCTCAATGATCCTTCGAGTTCCGTACCCTCCATTCTTAGATATTAAGAAGGAGTGTAAGGCAGAGGGTATATTGAATGGGGGAAGGGATTGAAAGGAAGAGAGTGGACATACCTCTTTACTCCCTCTGCCAAAACCACTCACGACCTTGCCTCCCATGCGCAGTGGGAACGGAGGCTCAGGGCCGGAATCGGGGCCGATTATCTGTGGTCTTCCTTCACTCATTTTGACTATCTGCCAGTCCAATCCTCTCCTCGACCTTCTTCAATTCTCTATTTTCTCTCAAAGCTGAATGGGGGAGCAATAGTCGTTCGTGGAAGCGAGCGTGGTTGAGTTGAGAAGTGGTGGAAGACGGTGGATAAATCAAAGAGAGACAAGGCTGTCAGAGCGGTCGGAATATCAAGCCGATGACGGGGTTTTGTAGTGGGGCAACGGCAAGGCTACGAAAAGCTTCTATCTTTTAGCTTCACTGGGCTCCCCTTTTGCAATATCTCGCAATTTATGTCATCGGCTCAGTGGTTGCAGAACTGTACTTCATTTTGTATTTACGAGCCCAGCCCAGATTTTTCATTAAAATCTTAGTCCGAATCTCATGCAAATATCCACACCAGGCAACAAGCCATATATTCCGGCCCAGCCACGAACTATCCCCCACCGAATGGGTTTTCGGAAATCGAATTCGAGAAGTTAGCTAGCTCATGGGAGGGCCAGAACACATCAAAAAAATTTAAGAAAGGGCAAACAAATTCCAGAACGCCGCCCAAGATGTTATCCTCTTTGCTGATCCGAATCCCAAGCTCCAAATCCGTTCCATGCATGCAAGTCCCAAGTTCAATGCCATCGATCGTAACCGTCGCGCCCTGCCATGCACCGTGTTATCCCAATCCCAAAGCCAAATCAAAGGCGCATTCTTTTGTGTACCAACCGAGCCGGTTTAGATGCAGGGAAGGAACTATTTTTCATCAGCTATGAGATGATCAAATGGAAGGGGAGGAAAGGGAGGAACATACGTTCATAACAATCAACATCGGGATATCAAAGACATCCCTCTTCACCGTCCAGCAATAACTACAATCAATCTTCCCATCCTTCGTGCGATTCTTAATCCCATGCTCGCCATCAATTTCTCTCACTCTATTCCCCATACCTCCAATCCCACCAGCCGGCTCGGGCTTCCGCGTCTTCAGCGTACCGTCTTTCTGCTCGGGTGATTTCGAATTCTCGAGCTCTTCTTTGGATTGGTATTTCAAGAGGCGGCATTTTTTGTTAACGCTGCCGCGACTGTCGCCGAATGCTAAACGCGCAAAGTCTTCGTAGAATTCGATGACGCTATCGTCGTCCAGTAGCTCTGCCAAAAACGCAGGCTGTAGCCTGCCTTCTTTGGCTTGAGTGTCTGCGAAACTTAATGAGCGCATCCGAGGAGTGCTGAGGCCTGCTCGCCCCGAATTGCCCAGACTTGCGGGTCCGGAACTACCTCCTTCAGAGTTGCTTCTGCCGGTGTTGATGTTGAGATTCGGGTCTTTGCCTAGAAGGACGTTGTTCTTCCAGCCTGTGAGCAGGGTGAACTCTCGGTTGGAGGCGGCGATCTCGCCTGTTCGGCGGCAGACAATGGTCGGTGTGGCACAGTCGATCATGAAGTGCTCGTATTCGAAGAGGGTTCTTTGGAAGCACTTTTCCATGAAGATTAAGTCTTGTCTACCGAGGGTCTTGGTGCAGGAGATGAAGGAGGGTCGGATAGAAGCCAGGGCTTTGGCGATGCGGAGAGTTTTGCTGGCAGAGAAGCGTCGCTGAAGGAATGCAGTTAAGCTATGGAAGCCAGTTGTATAGGGGTAAGGCTCGTGGACCGTATCATAGATGGATGAAGGATCGCGAGAGCGTTTGCCAAGAACGGAAGCTGGTCCAAATTTACCCGACGGAGCCTTTGTATCTTGTCGCTTTGCTGGTCGTTGGGCGGCAGTTGATTGATGTGGCGTAGTAGCAGATGTATAATTTGTAGTGGTTGGCGAGCTGTCAAATCCCAAACCACTTGCTCCTGGACTCGCATCTGTGCTCGGACTTTGATGACTCGTTGGTCCTGTAGCAATGGCGTATGCATGGGGTAGGCCTTGATGAACATTAAACATCTGGTTCTGCCCTGCAAAATCGGGAAGCATATCCTGAGGATACACTTGTCCGAATTGGCCCACATTGTAAACTTGTTGTCCGTTGTTGTAATGAATATCGCCCATCCCAACTGAAGAGATTGATTCCTTCGATGGTGTCTCAGCAGCCCCAGAGGACATATGGTTCAACATGCCAAACTCCAATGCACCGTAATGATTTCCAAAATTCAAGCCTTCCAAATCAAAGTTAAACAATGCGGGGTTGCTCGGGTCGAATAACGCGCTGCCAAAAGGCTGGGGATCATTCGATACATGAGAAAGTCCCGACATCGATTGGCGGTTCAACTGGTTCTGGAAGGTGGGAGATAGAGGTGATTGTTGGCTTCCGTAAGAAAGTCTTGCCTGCATCGGGGGAGGCATTTGTTGTTGCGGAGCGGCGAAGATGTTATATGATGGCGAGATATCTGGTTGCGTGAAAAAGCCACCAATTGGAGAGGTATCAGAGGCAGAGGTGCTCGTCGTTGGAGGGCCGTTGTTTCTCGCGTTGTTGACTTGGTTGTAGTTTGGTCCTAAAACTGGTCGCAGAGCTTCTGGAGGGGCATCATGAAGGTATTTTGCCTTCTTCCGAACTCCGTCTTGACAAGCATCCGCAAGACCTCTCTTTATACAACGTTGGCAAGGACGCTCATCGCCTACAATAAAGTTGATTAGCAACTGCTGATAAGAGTTTGGATAAATCGCTTGGCAGAAGCTAATGTAGAGAAAACCATCAACTTTCATGCGAAGGAAGCAAACATACCACAGGTCAAATGGGCTCTTTGGCATGCAAAGCAGGCTCTCCTAGCCTTCTTCCTCCTTGGCCTCAATGGATCCTTCGGGTCGAGCTTTGGCTTTGTAGCCGCCGTTCCATCCTTTCCATTCTCCTCACCACCGGGTCCGAACTTCTGTTCGGCCATATCGTCTTCCTCCTTGCCTACATCAAGCTCTTGCTCATGCTCACTATACTCATTCTCCGACCCGCCATCTGAAACGTCAGGATCATCAATTTCACTATCTCCCGACATGCTGTCTTATAACCCACTCTAGAGGGTTCGACCGTTCTGAGTAAGCTAGCTCTTGCCCTTTGCGAAACCACACCTCGTCAAAAATTCAATTAGGACCCTAGTCCCTATCTGCTTCGTCGGGAATCCCTGGAAACAATGCTGCAGCCGCAGGAGGCCCGTCGTGCAAGGCCCGCAGGGAGGCACGGATGGGGGTACCGTGAACCCTGTGCTGGCGTACCAAGAATGCACAATGACCTTGTCTGCCACTTGCAAATCAACTCGCAAATCAACCTCTCTTTTTCTTTCTCTCAAGCCTTGACTTCAGCCCAAGGTCTCCTCGCCGGTCTCGTAACAGCGTCAACAGTGCCGTCTGGTCTCTTCAGCAAGCAACGACCTCGAGACTTTCTCGTTCCTGTAATTCAATGCGCCCCCAAAGTGCTCGCAAAGCTCCCAGACAGAGGCACGTACCCGGCACTTGCTGACTCCCACACCACGTTTCGTCGCGTGCCTATCCGCACACAGGCACGAGTTCGCAGGCACTCGTGTACTGCCTGCCGCTTCCCAAAGCTATCCCTTGTGCCACGGACTAGCGAACCTTCCCAAAGTCTTTGTATGTAATACCCACGTCCGTCTTCACACAGCTTCTGGTCGCCGACCAATACCACCACAATCGCTCCCTCTCTGAGGCAAGGACCCCCACGTTCACTCGTCGCAGTGGCAGGAAATGGCTCCTCTGTACACCCAACGCCACGGCTTGGCCCCAGCGTAATTGGGAACAAAAAGGGGGGTAGGTGAACAATGCTGTGTAACACTGCAGGTATCCGCGCACTACTACTGTTGCAGCCGCAGCAAATGTGGCATGAAAATCGAATTGATGCCCGACCAAGCTCCCCCTTTTCCTTCGATTCTTCAGTCCCAATGTGACGCTGGCTGGAGCAAATCTTCCGTATTCGCTCCTCTCCTTTCCTCGCTTCGTTCGCTTTCGTTCGCGGTTCGGGGCTGGTATCGAAGCTGGGGGTGGAGAGGCGGGGTTAGCGCTCTTCCTTCTTTCCGACTGCTATGCGCGAAATTTGCCCCTCGCGGCCTCGCGGCCTCGCAGTGCACGGTGGGGGGAGGAGGGTTTTGAAGCTGCGGTGGAGGAGGAGGAGGGCTTGGGAGCACAATTGATGGGCTTGCCTTGCCGTGGGGCGCGTGGAGGTCGTGTGCTGTGGTGTTGTGTTGCGCGAGGGATTAGTGTTGGTGTTGATCCTTTGATTTCGCACAGACGGACGCCCAGCCACAGCGAAGCCGCCTCGCTTACGGACAGGGGTCGTTATTTGCAGTCTGCTTCACAAAATCACCGTCACAATCTTGTCTTTTGGAACAGGTGATAGCCCCTGCTTGTCCTTCTCAAAGAAAAACCACATTTTGAGATTAGTGGGTGGTGGCTGGATGTGATAGTCATTCCTACGGGTCGCCAAGACCTGCGAGATGCTTCTTTTGTTGCACAATATCACCACAAGGCGGTCACATGCTCTCGTTGTCAACGCCACATCACAATCGACCTCATTCTGGTTGGCTGTCTTCTGCAGCCTCTGTCTTCAAGGTTACTCGGCATCTCGGTAAGCCCTCCTTGCCTGTCTTGGTCCACGGGCCGAACCGGGGGTGCGTGTCTTTCCTTTGGTGGCTGGGTACTGGGAGTGGGACTGGGGCATGGACTCGGTGAGCGAGGGGTAACTGCGTATGGTGGGGGGCTCTGTGATGTGCGAGGTAAAGGGGGCAATCACGTTATCTCTCTGCTGTGACTGGAGTGCGAAACGGAGGCGGTGAGTTTTGTTTCACACATGTGTTTCCGTCATCTGACTCGACTCGAGCGCCCTCGAGGGCTTTTACTTCATGCCGTGCAACGGACCAGGATCAAGGACTTGGTAATTTTTGGAACTGAATTGGATTTGCGAGCTGATCTCTGTATTCGAGACATTGGCACCGCTTCGAAAGACGGATCTGTGTGATGTGTTTGATGCTCCCAATGCTTTTTGATTCCCCATTATATCCTCGCTATGCATGCCAAAAATATCCCTCCGTCCTTTTCTATCCAATAACAAAAGGGGGTCTGAAACAATACACAAGAAGCAAAGCCATGCTGTAAGTTCACGCCGTCGCAAACCGACTCTTCCCCCTGATCTTCTTTCCATATTTAAAGAACAGGTACGGGAAAGGCATCATAGCGACCGTCAAAAAAGCCAACAGACTCGTTGCCCACTGATCACCGAGCGCCCTGTACATCTGCACTCCAAATAAAGGGAACGCCGCTGCCGAGGAGCGTCAGCTCCACCTCAGCCGCAAAAGGATATCAAGAGCGATAGGATGAGAGGCACTTACCACCGAAGCTGCTGCGGGCGAAGCTATTGGCGGCCAACGAAGAGGCTGCATAAAGTGGGTAGGCGTCGACTAGGAAGGTGAAGATGCCACTGAAGACGAGGAGGGTTCTGGGCGGTGTGGGCGGTTAGCCACGTATTGGTAGGGGTGTGAGGTGAGGAGTGCCCCGGCACGTGCAGCGTGCGTCATGTGCACGCCTGTGGGGGTTGTAGCTCAGGGGAGGGGGTGGGGGGGATGCTGCGGCTGAGGGAGAGGGATACGGGAAATCTCCGAAACGGAAGAGGCTTCGATTGATGATTGAGGTATGATGATCTGCAGGAACGGCCCGTATTGAAACGCCACCCGCGCTCGAGCATGATGCATTGAACGCCTCTATCAACTCATACAAAGGAAAGAAATGAAAGACTTACCCTATGCCAAAAATACTTGATCCGATGATAGGAACGACCCAGTGGACCGAGGAGTACGTCGTCCATGCGAATACGAACAGCCCAATAGGCACGAGGATAGCTCCTGCAATGGAAGGGGGCAGTCTGTATTCGGGTTCGCTGCCACCGATTTCGCCAGTTGCAAGCTCTCGTTGCTTGATCAATCGGTCGTAGTTCCTATGCCAAAGCGGATCCGTTGCAGCCCCCAGCACCATTCCGACGAAAATGCCCAAGAAAGTCAAGCCAGTCTGCGATAGTGTGAATCCGTGATTACCTTCGAAAACCAGCGGAAGTGCTCCGAAGAACAAATAAAGAATGCCGAGCAGGATTGCCGAAAACAGACACAGGAGTGTGACCATGGGCTCCAAAAGCAATAGCTGAAAAGGTCGCAGCAACGAATATGCAATCGTTTTTGGTATCGATTTGTTCATTTTCTCCATCGGAGCTTTCCAGCGCTCGTCTCCGGTTTCCTTTCGAAGCTGTCGCGCTTTGTTACGCAGCAAGACTGGGTGGTATGTCTCTGGCACGAGTAGCGAAATCATGCCCAGGTTTATTCCGGCCCAGATAAGGAGGAGATAGAAGGTCCATCTCCACGTAGTGTATTGATTGATGAAGCCACCAATCAAGGGCCCAATTGATGGGCCTATAAACGGTGATGCGGTGTAAATCAACATCGGGAATTGAAGTTGTTCTCGGTTAAACATGTCGCCCACAGTACCTCCAGCGACGGACAAAAAGGCACTTCCCGAAAGTCCGTCAATAAATCGTGCTACTAACATTGTCTGAATATTCTGGGCCACGGCTGAGGGGATGATCCAAATTAGGAAAAAGCTGAAAGAGACGAGATATATTGGTCGTCTTCCATAGAACTCACTGTCTTGGTGTTAGTTATACGAATTGAGGGGGCATCTTTATCACGTACGACAGAGGACCCAACAACATGGGACCGATTCCCAGTCCCATGATGTAGAGGGAAAGACCAAGAGTTGCAACAATTCTAGAGCAGTGAAACTCTGTTGTGATTTGAGCATATGTTGACGTGTACATGGATGATGTGCAGGTCCTAGGAGTTGTCAGCACTTGTGTTACCGGTATTCATCTGACCTCGCGCATCCAAATGCTCTTCTCCCGTTTTCCTCTCAACTTGACTAGCACAATTTTCGTCCCATATATCACCCACCTCCATAAGATCAAGAAAGGCAGTACTCACACACAGAGCGAACTCGCGCTCACAATAATCACAATGATCCACCTTCTCCCCATTGTCATACTCCTCGGATTCGCAGGATCGCTATCCCCACCATCCCACCTCACCTCCCACGGGTCCTTCTCCTGCCTCCCAATCTCCACATCCCCGAGTTCCTCCTGCGAGCTATCCTGCGTATCGTCACACCCATACCCATTATTCGACCTTGCCCGACTCAAAGACTGTAGAGAAGTTGGCTTATTCCTTGCATGAGAGTTCGATCGAGTTGCAGCTTTCGAAGCAGCTGTAGAAATAGGCTCGAAGTCTTTCGTGGGCAGACTGTACGCAGAGTCATCTGTCGGATCAACGAACGTCTCCTCATCATTTTCTTTCTCGGTGATGTCTGCCATGTCGATGCCGGTTCGTAAGTGGGGTCGCCTCCTCCAAAATTCCTCGCTCTCTCTCTCTCTCTCGCGTTCGTTCTCTCTCTCGTTATATCCAGCCAAAACAGTGAACGTCAACACATCTCTATACCACCTCTCTATCTCGCAACAAGAATTACCGCTTGGTAATCTCGATCCTCAGTGGGAAACTGATATAGGTAACGAAGGCGTTAACGCGAATGCGAGCTGCTTAGAAGCAAAGCAGCAGCAGCGGCAACAGTCTTTCAACATTTTGCCTTCCCCTCCCCACGCGCAGGGTGGACCTACCGTTTCCCGCCGTTGATACAACTTTGCGCCATCGTCGGGTCGCCGGGCAGCGCCGCGGCAAGAAAAGCACGGCGATGGTCATCACAGTGGATGGGGAGCGTGAAGGCCAGGCCCATTCTGTTGGTAGAGTGGGATCAGTGCCCTATCAGACGAAAGAATTGACGTCGCCACTAGTTTTGGAGGGGCTGCATTTCCTTAAAGCCGAATTATCCCCGGCAGTTTTTTCGGAACGCGGAAATGGGTGACAAAGTGGGTTATATGGTAATTTCTGTTGTCAATTGGATTCAGATATTTGCGTATCAGGTGCGGTAGCCAGCTGTGGCTTTTCGTATTTACCAGTGAAGTCTTGCGGTCCAGTTTGTTGAAAGTGCGACTAGTTGAAAGCGCGTCATGACGGATTACCAAGCGGAACGGGTATTGCGGATATTGGCTCTGAAGTCGGCTACGGCCCGCTTAATCCATTTTCCGGCTTGCCAACCTCCTCCATTTCACCCGTTTTGGCAATTCATGGGAGCCTTTTTCCAACGTGCTTGTTCCAAGTCTTACTGCGGAGCTCGTAAGTACGACAATAGCCTGCAGATGGAAGTTGTGGATGCTCTCACGGCCCCACTCACTGCTGACAATTCTCTCCCGACGCAGAGCCCTGTGGCCTCACCTTGATCTCTCAAGTATCAAGACGGGAGCCCAGGATCTCTTATCGTTTGTCATCTTGCATTTAATACATACTAGGGGAGGTTTAGAGGAGTGAATCATTCCATCCTAACGATTTGTTGCACGTGCCTCAAGGTTCCAAAAGTTCTGGGACATTGAGATTGTGGTCAATAACGAGTGAATGTTCGGAGTGAAGATTTTGTTGCATATCTCTTTAATGTTCTATAAGTTCTCAGACATCATCAAGTCTCCTGTTGGCCTGAGATTTGAAATCCCGAATCAATCTGTTATACACACCAAATTGACGACAACAAAGCTAGACATTGGATTACTCAATGATGCTTTTCAAGTTTTCTTGCTATCAGATGACATTCCAAATCACCGAATCTTTCCTTGAGCCTCGTTTCATATCGCATCTCAATTACAACGGCTCCCATTGGTTCAGATATCCCCTCATCTTCTCAGCAAGTAATACACTCCCTTACCAGACACCATATTCACTCCTCCTTAGATGCCTTCAAGCTTTTTGTTGATCATAGACTTTGAATTTGAGTTGCAACTTCCTAGTGCGAATAAACGATGCTGAAGTGTTCACCTTCCGCGAGTTTTTACCAGACCCACGTACCACCTTGACAGCCCAGGAAGATATTGGTTTGGGCGATCATTCATTCAACTTGTATTCCTCTCGATTAAATCATAATCCGTGCATTTCAGTTCATTTCCCTCCCAAGAGCGTGCAACACAAAAGAGCCAAGTCCAAATTCAATTGCGGCTTATTTCAGTTACCAGTACCCTCTCATAGGAATGTTGAAGTACTGTACCACTGACCTTTGAACCCCTTCAAGTAAAGAGCAATGCAACGTAGCAAGTACTTCTTTAGGTGCGTTTACCGTTAGCCTTCTCTTTGGAGTGAAGTCACTTCCCTGCGGTCTAGTAATTAGAGGAACTTGTAGCGTCGGGCTTGCAGCTTTATCCGCAATTTGGAATTAACAGCCTCATTGAAATGCAACTGTAGCAAAGGAAACATGGGCGGGTAAATGGAAGAACCCACGCCGGCAGTGAAATCGGTAGTGAAATCGCTGGAGAAAATGCACAGTATATCAACTGTTGCTTCACCAAACTGGCCTCACATTGAGCATCTATGTGCCTGCCAAGCTTGCAACCAACCCTGCCGTGATCTTAGCTGTAAGTAGCTCACCCACAACTGGCCATTTCATGACTCAAAAGAAAAGCTACATCCAGACAGCGGAACCGGACAACAATACTACTAAATGACCAAGTGTCCCCAACTCGCCGACCCCAAGGGCTTCATCGCCACCTACCCCTCCGCTCCACACGACAACAACTGCTGGGACATCGCCTCCACCAAGACCCTCTCCCACGATGGCGGGGGTGACAGCAATGGCATAGCCAACATGCTAAAATACACCCTGACGAAGTACAACGCCGACCCCAAAAGAGTATTTGTGACCGGGACTTCGTCCGGCGCAATGATGACAAACGTCATGTGTGCAGTCTACCCGGACCTCATCGCGGCCGGCTCTGGTTACTCGGGCGTAGCAGCGGGCTGCCTAGCCGGGTCTCCTGGCTCCTCGCCCACAACAACCTGCGCTGACGGCATCAACAAGACGCCTTCACAATGGACGTCTGTCGTTCAGCCATGTATCCAACGTTCAACGGGAGTTATCCGAAAATGCAGGTGTGGAACGGGACGGCGGATAATTTTGTCAATTATCTGAATCTGGCGGAGGAGGTGAAGGAGTGGAGTGGCGTTTTGGGCGTTAGTGGGGTGAAGAATGTCACGGATAGCCCGCAGAGTGGATATACGTAGATGGTGTACGGGGCGGGACTAGGTTCACGGCGTATAGTGCCGCGTGAGTAGGACATACGGTGCCGGTGCATGAGAGTGTTGATTTGAAGTGGTTTGGGCTTACTTAGTTTCCAATCTTTTCTCAAGACATAAAAACAAAGTCTTTCCTCACACAGCTCAGAGGTGGTGTTACGCCGGCATTACAGATTCTTCTTGGTTATTATTATCTCTTCCTGAAACTCGCGGTCTCTATTTGACAAGTGGCAATATGTGCTAATTCGCGCTTTCATCCTATCTGAATACCTCTCGGGTTTCTGAAGATGCCCTCCGTCTTTGAATATTATCGAAGATGGAAACCCCAAAGAATAGCATAACAACAAAACCAAAGCCATGAACTTGAAGTCAGCACCGTAGCACTCGACTTTTTAGACGTAGATGTAGATGTTGCGCCTGATGAGGTTGCGGAGGCTGTGTTCGGTGTCACGCTGACTGAGTAGGATACATTGATACTATTTTGGTTCGTGTATGCGAAGACTCCGACGCCGTATTCCTCGTAGTCCAAGTCGAAATCGAAGGAGCTGCCTGTGGTTGATAGAGATGATATTGATAACGACCCACTTTTAAATGATCAGCTTTCAGCCGCCGATATAGGAGGGATATAAGAGCGAGAACATGAGGAACGTACTCATCCAATTGTGCTCCAGCATTGCTGTACACTGAAACTGAATGCACTTCCCCTGACTGCAGGCGAAGGCTAACGCTGTACAGCCCGCCTCCATCTGGCAGTGGCATGATAGCTGCCTTCGAGCTAGAAATACTGTCGAGCGCTCGTACCCGGTCTACCAACTGCCAGTCCCATGCAATAAATGAAAGCCACACGCATGTTTACCTGTAAAGCCCGAGTCGCTCTGCCCTCCACCATCTTGACGTTTCAATTTCGATGCACCATTCACGCAGCCCTGTAGATCAGACTCCTGAACATTTGCACAATTGATCCCAACGATCCGTACTACGAACTGTTGTCCATAGGTCAACTTGCTCAAGAATGGGCCTAATTTTCCTCCTTGCAAGCTGTTTTGAAAGCCAACGACACAACTCTTGTGAGCTCCTGCTCCACCCTCGACAGTTGAAGCAAATGGATATTCGTCGCAGCTTGTCACGTTATAGCTTCTTCACCGCCCTTAGGGCACCATCATTCTTACATATTTACACAAAACATACCCACATTCCACTTCCACAGCTTGTCCAGGCCGTGACACAGCTAGTGGGGAATCCTTTGAAAGGCCCAGAGTCCTTGAGTAAATCTTCGTCATGTTAGCGACCATGAATTTTAAGAGGAACCTTTCGTCACTCACTACTACAGCATCCACCACATTTCACCTCGCCGCGTCGGTCTTTGTAGCAAGGGTCTTTGGAGCCCGCATAGGTGAGAATATCTTGGTTCCCCACCACATTTCTGTTATTCATGCCGAGGCACATGCTCTTCACAATATCTCCAAAGGATTCGAACTCGGTGTCGATATAGATGAACTCAATGACGGGCAGGTTCTTGATTGCTGCTCCAGTCGGGCTGGGACTTGCAGTGACGCAGGATTTAGTTGTCGAAACTGCTGCAGATGAAGACGTAGGCAATTTTGGAGTTGATTGAGTTTTCGACTGGGATGAAGATTTTGAACGTGACTTTGTCGTGGACGTTGTCGTACTGACACACGTTCCCTCAGAACACTCTGAGCCTGGAGAACAGCCTATAGCGCGTTAGTCGTACACCGCAGTAGGAAGTTTGCCATCATACACGTGTCTCCACAGCATTCCCATTCATCAGGACAACATCTAGTCTGTCCAGCGCAACAGAATTCCCCGGCTGTGCAATACTTTTGCCCACAACACGTATTCCCATCATCGGCGGGCATACAGCCGGTTGGACAGCATTCTTCTCCACTGCTACATACACTAGCACTACTGCCAGTGCAGCAAACAGCGCCTGATTTCCAACATCCCGTCCCTCGACAGGTTTGCGAGTTTTTAGGACAGCATTTCCCTAGTAAACAGTTGTCGGAACCAGGGCAGGCATAGCTGGTACAGCAGGTAGCGCCAGTGGCATAACAGCCTGTGCCGCTGCAAGTTTCAAGTTGCTTCTCACAGCAGCCGTTGGACATCTGGCAATACATCAGTCACCGTACTCCGTGAGGAAGACCAACCTTCCCCCCACTTACACAATTCTCGGTGGGAGAGCAGCAACCCCACTTGGGCACACATCTAGGAGCTAATCAGTAACTGGGCTGTAAAAATATAATGGATAAAGGACGAGGCTTCATACGATCACCAGGGATAGCACATTCCTGCTGTCTGGGCATCAATTGAGCGAATGAGAGAGCGCTCGGAGAGATCTCCAGGCTTGCATTTCCACTGTGAAATGCACTTTCAGAGAAAGGATTAAGAGAAAAATCCGAATCAACAGCCAGTGCAAATGTCATGAAAATTGCGAAAGCTAGCACTCATAGATAATTTGAGGTCGCCGTCATGTTCAAGCAAATATTTGTTATGGCACTGAGATTCCCCAGTGGGAGCTCGGGTTTCAACGGGCAAACGAGCTTATTATAAGCTTAACGTTTTTGCAGCCTCATTCCTCTAACCACCACCTATTTTCGCTTATTTCTGTCACACGGCATCTGCCCGCATCCAGCGCACCAATCGGTAACGGCTTTGCCAAGAGTTTAAATCCTTCTAAATGCACCGTGAAGCCACTTGGCGTCGTAAATACAGGGCCAAAGCCAAAAAAGGCTGACAATTTCCGGGGAAGTCATGATCGGTCCAGTATTGGACCGAGTCTGGGGAAAAAGTAAAACGACCCCCCCCGGTATCGATTGGGGGTGTCGATTGGGGGCGCATTAACCGAAATCAGCAGGCGGTGGCAGGTGCCTGTAGATATTGCTTTGTATGTACCAATATATGCAGATTAATGTATATTAGCATACTAATGTGCGTATTGCATTCTCTGAATGGCGTTATCATTATCGTTTCCAGACAAATTTGGTTGTATCGCAATTAGTCCAAAAAAAATTAGGGTCTTATAGGCTTGTGGCAATATATATTTCCTCTTAACTATTAGCAGAACCAGAGGCATTAGGTTTTAATTGTTTTAAATTATTGATTCTGCTTGCCCCAGATCCCGTAACTTTATGACTAGAGTAAGTTGCCAGAAAGTCCTTATTTTAATATAATAGACTACTTCCCAATTTGCGATCGAATTACAATATTAGCCAGTAAGTATAATCTCTAATATTTGAATAATAATTGAGAGCCTTTTAAGCTATTTAATATAGCAATTTATTATATAATACCCCTTTATTGCCTTTGAAGTATAGACCTTATAATACGTAAAATATAGTACCTTTATCTGCTATAGGCTCAAAATATAGTAAACGGAAATATATATTTTTATTTCGGGATATATATATTAAGAAATAGAAATATTTTTCTAAATTAGTTTATTTAAAATAAAATAAAAATTTGTAATAGGTTCCGAATATATTTCCTCTATTTATATTCCTAAAATTTAGTATATTAAATATAAATTATATAAGTAAATAAGCAAATTTAAATATCTTATATATTTATTCTAGGAATATAAAAGAACCTTTTTACTTTATTTTAATCTTTTCTTCTTTTATACTTTTAAATACTATTTTATTTTTAATATAAATATTATTAAGTTAAAATAGTAATAATTAGTAAATATATTTATTTAAGAATAATTCCTTAAATTAATTCTAATCTTAGCTTTAGCTAAGCTTTACTTTAGGGTCAAGTTTAAGTTCCTATAGACTATATTAGCTTGAGTTTCTAGCTACTATAAATCTGGTAATAGCTAGCTATTCTAGTTTATACTTATAATATTTAAGTTTAAGAATATATTTATTATTATAGTTATTATAATATATAATACTAGTAGGAGTTAGACTAGAACTAGTAAAGCATCTGGTATCTAAATAAGATATCTAATATCTGAGTATAGTATTTATAGTTACCTAATAATTATATATAACTCCGAGCTTAAGCTAGTATATGGGCCCGTATATAGCTTATAATTATTTAGATCCGAGGCTTCTTTAAGATCCTCTTTTCTCTTTAGCTTTAAATTATTAAAATAGAAATAGTCTAACTATATCTTTTAGGCCCTAGATCTTATATTTATAATATAATTCAAAGCTTATTTATTTCTTAATTCTATAGAGGATTTAAATAATACCTATCTAATTAGTTTTTAATAAGTATAGATATAATATACTATAACTACTCTTATACCGGTTAACTAATATTAGAATAAAAGAAAGCCCTAAAATAACTAGATAAGAAAGCCCTAGACTAGCCAGATAAGCGGATAGGCTAGTAATCTTACTACTAAATAAAGACCTATAAGAAAGCAAGTTCCGGAATAACTAGGTAAGTCAGAAGAAGCTATAGTATAAGATATTACTAGTATATTACTAGAAAGTAAACCAGAGCCTTTTATTAAGTCTCCTAAGAAGTCCGAATATCCTATTAATACTTATAATAAGAAAGATAGTCTTTTTTAGAGAGCCGAGAAAGAAAAGAGACCTATTCTATTAAAAGCAAACTTCTAAAAGTTACTTCGGAATCTAAAAGCTTTATATAAGGAAATTATTAAGCTAATTCTAAAGATATATAATATTCTTACCTATAGTAAGAACTATTATAATTAGCTAAAAGAAATCAAGTAAGCCTTATAAAAAAAATAAAGCTATTATTAAGAAGCTTATTATATAGCCTATAGGAATAACTAGTTCTCTTATATTAGAAAATAAATATTTAGTTAAATTCCCTAACTCTCCTATTTTTAAAGATATAACTAAAAATAGTATTACTTTTAATAATTAGTTAGTTTAGATTAAAAACAAGCTTTATAATAACTCTAATATTTACTAGTTAAAGAACCTTAAAATTATTTATATTTCTAGCTATATAGGTAATTATATCCTTATACTAATTTCTCTTTATCTAAACCAGGATAATTAATATATATATAAGACTATTAGAGAACTATATATCTATCTAGAAAAGCTATATAATAACCCGAATAAGAAATATAATATTTAGTAAGCCTTTAAGAAGCTATTTATAAAAAAGAGCCAGACTTTTTAGGAATTCTATATTCTATTTCTAAAATATATAATAGACGGAAATATTAATTTATAAGGCTTTAAAAATAACCTAAATAATAAGCTTATTTAGAAGCTCTAAGAGGCTATAGCTATATATTATAATAATCCGGCTATTTATATTATAAAGTTTATATAATACTATATTATAAATAACTAGTAGATTTGAGCTTATTATAAAAAGAAAAACTAGATATCTAAAAAAGCTAATAATAATATAGATAAGCCAAGCTCAGAAGGCGCCTCTTATATAAAGCCTGTTCTTAAAACTCTAGTAATAGATAAGCCTATTACTCTAAAGCCCGAATTCTTAGATCTCAAATACTATAATTATAATAGATTTGGTTATATATCTAGAAACTATCTAGAGCCTAAAACCAAATATATAAAGCGAGTTTTAGTAGCTAAGCTAGTAGTATTTATTATAAGTAAATCGTTTCAGGATATAGAATAAGGAAATAAGAACCTTTAAAGGAAGTTTCCTTTTTAGGGCTATATTATATAGATATAATAGAAGTTAATTTAAGCTAGCTATTAGGAAATAAAGTATTTATATTTCTTTATATAATTAGTAATAATAAACTAGATATTAAAACTTTTTTATTTATTAATACCGGAATAAATAAATATATTTTTATTAATTCTAAGTTTATAAAAATAATTAAATAATTTCTAGATATTAAGCCTATTTAATTAATATTACTCTATAATATAAGAGAGTTTAATAATAAGTAAACTATATCTATTATTTACTATATTAAACTTATTATTATAAAACCGGGCTCTGGGCTTAGAAAGCAAAGTAGAGTAGCTCTTAATTCAAGGATTCTAAACTAAGGAAAGAAGCTCGTATATATAGGAGCTTTGGTATTCTAAATACTAGCCAGTCGCATGCGTCATCGCGGTCACGTGACGCTAAATTTCCTAGTAAAGCGGCAGAGTATAATACTTATATTCTTAATTAATAAATAAAAGGTTCTAATACCTATACTAGTTATAAAACTAGGTAAATATAATATAATTTTGGGATAATAGTAATTTATAAATACTAGTATTCTAATTAATTATAAGAATAAAAGATTAATCTAGTTAGATAATTAGCCTAAAAAGAAAAATTAGAATAAGATTCTAATTATTATATATAAGAACTTAGAACCTAAAAAAAGTAACTAGTACTAAAAAGATATAAATAAAAGAGGTAAAGCTATAACTATAAATAAATCCTAAAGACTTTAGCCTATAAAGAGAAAATTTCCTTATTCTTTTCCTAAACTAGATTTAGAAAGCTATATATAATAAAAGAATTAATTTTAATACTATAGAGAAATACAAATAGCCTTAGGAAATATAGAAGTTTCTTCTAAGCTAGAAATAAAGATATTAAAACTATATTATCTAAAGAAAAGCTATAAGATCTAGTTAAGGCCTATAATTAATATTATAGGTATTTTACTAGCTGCTTTTTAGATAAATCTATAAAAAAAAGAAAACTCTTTTTTTTATAATATTATTTTTTAAGATTAATAAAGAGCTAGAATTATAATAAAAAAACGAGTTTATTTCGGGTAAGTAATAACTAGAAGAAATAGAGCTATAGTAGCTAGTAAGAATTTTACTAGAGAAATTTAAGAATTTTATAAATATCTTTCTAAAAAAAGTATTAAATATCTTATTTCTATATTAATTATATAACTATAAGATTTAGATTAATAATTCTAAAGGCCCAGAAAGCCTAGAGTATTTCCTATTTCATTAATAGTTAATCTATAAACTATAAATAATTAAATATTTCTTTAAAAAAAACCTTTAATAAAGCTTTATTAAGCCAAGCTAATCTTTTTTTTATATCTCTAATTCTCTTTATAAAAAAGGCTAATAAAGCTTTCTAATTCTATATTAATTATTATAGGCTAAATAACTTAATATAAAAGAATTATTATTCTTTTTTCCTTATTTATAAAATCCTTATATAGCTAGCTTAAGCTAAGGTTTATATAAAGCTAAATATTTAATAAGTATTTTATTAAATCTAAATAGATCTAGAATTAGAAGAACTTATAATATTTTATATAAGATATAAGGCCTATAAATATAAAGTTTTTTAAAAAGGCCTAACTAATAGTTTTATTATATATTAGAAATATATAAATAATATTCTCTTTAATTATTTTAATGTTTTTTATATAGCTTATTTAAATAATTCTTTAAAATATAAAGACTATATATAAAAGGTTTTTTAGTAGTTATAAGATACTGGCTTTTAAATA